TAACCCTTACTGGACCAAAGGCGAGCTCGCGTGTGTCTGGGGGGTGTTTGCTGACATCGGGCAAGGTCATTGTAGTACATTTTAGTAGTATAGCTAACCCCCAGTAGAATAACGCCGAACGAGTCAGGAAGTTGTAAGATGGTGGAAATTCACCCTACTTAAAACCTGTAAGTAAGCAGTTATTTCCATGGTTTATTTGAAAAGCCATTTTACTTAATCTACGGACTTGAGTGGTTATTGTACATGGTGGCCTACCGAGGCCCCCTCTCCAGTTCAATACCATCAAATACTTACTGGACCAACGACCGGTGCGTGAAAGTTGGAAGATTGTGGAAAATTCAACCCACTTTAAATTTGTAACTAGGTGGTTAGAAAATATAAGCACCCTTCTAAGGCCCCAATACATACTCTCACCTTGTCTTCTTTGGCATCTGTCGTTTCACACCGGAAGGCAGACGGTTAACACCAGCGAGGCTCGCCCAGCTTTCCCCTGGCTACCCATTGTCGATCTTGTTTTGCATTTTGTTGTGACTCGGTTTGGTCAACAGCCGCAGTTATCACTGTTAAGGGCAATTACCTTCTGTGGCTGTACTCCGCATCGTCTACGAGACCAAGCTGGTTGGCGGGATCGTAAACTACCACCTCGGACAGGTACGCCTGGTCAGCTTGGAGCAGTCTCACAACCATATCCCGAGTTAAGATGGGATAGAAGGCGAGACCAAATCTGTGAGGTTTTTCCTCACAAAGGAAATTGGAGCGCTTTTGGGTCATAAACACGTGTTCATCGCCACAGATGGCAAGGTTGCCAATTAGCTAAATGTGTTTCGGGACACCGCACCCTGTTATAGTAACTGTTCATTGTGTCAGTATGTCGATTCGCACCGTCCCGAGATCCGGGTAAATGAATTCGGACTCAGTAGCGCGTGGCACACGTAAATGGGGACGCATGTGATTAGGCTACTGGAACACAATCGTATGAAGACTGGGCATGCTGATGGTGATTGTGCCTCATGCATGTGCTGTCCTAGTATCCCAGTACTTTTGTGCAAATAAAATCCGACGATGATATTGACGTGATGAATGTCACACCTTTTACGTGAAAATTTTCAGTCTACGCCTGTGAAGCCTCAAATAGGCCAATTTAGTCAAGTTAGCGTTCTATTTCTGAGACTAACAAAGCAATAAAACCTAGAATGCTCTGGGGCAGGAGCCGGGGGGATTGTCGTGTGGCAGGAGCCGGTGGGCTGTTTAGCCCTATCGGTCACTTGCGCTCAATCCCCGCCCAATGCAATGCCTGACTGGCTCGGACATTAGACTGAGGCTGCTTGAGAAGCGAAAAAGCGGATGACGCCGGTGCTGGATTCCATCCTCACAGCCGTCCCTTTTTCTTGTTTATTTGAGAACATGATCCACCTTACGCGGACCACACGCGTGCGGCACTGCCAGATGGGCTGTCTAGCTTTGTCAGCCACTGCGCTTGACCCTGTCTCTGGTCTTCTTGCCCCCCCGGGCTGGGAGGGAGGAGAGAGTGTGCGGTAGTTGCAATGCAAGTCTACTCTCACTTGAAACTAGTCCACACGCAGGTCATACGCTCGCCATATGGGGCATCGTCCATGACAGTCAAACTGTCGGATGCTGTTTTCATATTCCCGCAGTTCACTTAGTTTGGAGCTGGATCACTACTTAGAAGCAGGCAAACAATAAAACTGAATCCAGCTGCAGGAACCTTGTGCGGATTCAGTGTATTCTACCTCTTTTACCCCGAATTCGATTTGGGAGAGGTTGGTTTGGGATTGTAGTGGTAATGGTCTCCAGGCTGGTCTGGCTGTCGCGACCTTGACATGCTCGAACACGCAGCGGTCAAGCGCGACAGAGCCCTAGCGTCGCAAACTTAAAGCACCTTGACCTTCCCCCAATTGTTTTTCTTTTTCGTTCTACTTGTCAATCACGAATGCAGACCCAAAGTTTGACCGGTGGGTGCATTAGCATTGCGTATGCGACAGCGAGTAGGTAGTTAAATGTGAATGCTTACAGATCTGCCCCACGAAGGCAGTTTATTTGTAGTGATAGTATGCGCGTTAAAAGAAGACTCTGTCCAGTCGTTTCCTTTATTCCGTTGCACAAGCGACACCAGCTGCCTTTCAGGTTGATATATTGAGAGGTAGTTGCTGTCTCAACACCAGAAGGATCCCCAGATAACAAGTCTGGCATGACTGGTTGAACTCGAACAACTTTACTGCTCAAAATGCTGTACAGTGACGCAGCGTACGATAGCCAGCCGTGTAGATGCAAAAGTGTGGATGTGATAAGTTTATGCTGTACAATGAATAATCGATCGGCTGGCGCTTATCAAATGAGTCAGGATTATCGATTAGCTACAAGCGTTAACGCGGTGAGTTGACATCAAGCGTGCAAAAGGGATTATCGATTAGCTACAA